TTTTATACATATGCAAATAGAAACATTTAAATTTGATCCAGTCCCTTGTATCATTTCTTCCCCTTATTTCCTGGGCAACAGGAGTACTGTTTATAAATAATTACCTTGCCCTTTTCTTCACGGATTTCCCTATAATAGTTGCAAAGTATCACATCTCACATTTGTATCTTTGATACACTTTGGATTAATTTTTGTAATGGTAAGATTAGGGAAGTAGATTGCAGCTTCTATATGTACATTCCCAGTTAATTAATCACCAATTTTTGAACAGACTCTCTTTGCTCCAGTGTATGTTTGACTCTGGTAAAATTCAGATGGCTATAGCTATGCGGGTTTATTCCTGGGTGTTCTTTACTCTTCCTCTAGTCTACATGTAGCCTATGCTTGCCTGCAAATGAGATTCTGGTGAAATGAATCCCAATGAAATGACTTTCCAAGTGTCCTTCTCTGAGCTTGTTACATGAGATCTTTTCTCAAGGGAAAGTTTTCCACATGAGTTCACACTTTTAAGAAGTTCCAACCTTTTCATAGTTGTTTAGCCAATGCTTAAGTAGCTCTCAGTGTATCTTTCCCATTACTCTGATACAAAACTTCACATCAATGGAGCAATCTATCAAATAGATCTCAAATTGTCATCCCTTCTCATCTCCAGTGAAAGTAGTTAGGCTTGAAATTATGAGCGACTACACCAACATAAACCCAGTATTTTTAATACTAAAGTATGAAGCATAATTCTACATAACTTTGTTCAATATCCATTCTTTCCTTTCTCCATTAGTATAGACCTTTCATGATCTGCCTCTAGGAACATTCCAGAAAACTATTTCCAGGCTGACCACAAAACTCAGAAGTTTTTGCTCTTCTTGGGCCTTTGTTCTTCTCAAAAAGCTTTTCTGTTAAGGGTCTATTAAATATTATTACTTCCTCCTTCTGAACTGATGTCATAGTATCTTTTCAATAATTCAGTCAAGTTCATGCCAGTGATATTAACAAGTTCTGCCCCTGGCAAAAATCACAAAATTCAGCTGGCCCTAAGATTTGAGAAGTCTTTGCTTCCTGAGTGCCACTATGTGATCCTAATGTTGAAAAGTTCAGTTCAAATGCAAGTCAAGGCAACTGCTACAATTTTTCCATAGCGAAAGAGATGATTAAGAGAGCCTTTAATGGAAGCATGTAGTTTTGAAAACCAAGATATGTGTGTGTTCCCAGCTAATTGATTCCCTTTGTCAGCACCATGACACAGCGAGAGGTGGAATGGTTTCTGTGACATAGAGCAAGAGGCAGGATTGTAAGACGTGAGGCAGAGCCATCAGCCCATCAGTGTACCCTTCAGTGGCACTCAGAAGCTCATCCTCTTTACCAAAACCACATCTTATAAATAGCATAGGGAACACACACCCTAATCCACCAACTACCTTGTAGCTATTCAACACTTAGAATTCATGGTGAACTTATCTTTTTTCTTGAACTGCTGTGAAATGTGTGAGAAGATGACTCATTTGAATTTCCTACTGAATCTGTTCTTGAATCAGACAGAATAGAATCAGCTTTGTGAATATTGGAGCAAAGATTCACAGTTTAGATACTGGTATGCCAAACTCAAAATCCTAGAGATTGCTATGTCACAAGGTGGCCACCAGAGGGCAAGCCAATCTCACAATCAACAAAGCCCCAGAGTCCAGATCTTGAAAGATGTAGATGAGTCAACAGGAACCTGAGATTGGCAGGCTCCCTTAACTGGTATCATTGTGCCCATTTGCCTGAGATACTACTCACACTGCCATGGCTCTCCATGTGTGTGTTTCTGAATATTGTCTACTTTATTTGATCTGTAATAAGCACACCCTGATAGTGACACTCCTTTTCACTAGGATTCTGGGAATGGAGTGAGAACTCCAGTTCAATGATAGACCTGGATGTGTGAGAACAAGCCCTGCCCGCTGAGGTGTGTCAAGCCATGTGCGCACAGTCACCATGACTTGGCCTTGTGAATTTTCAGTAGGACTGAACACACTGAGGCCCCACCTTCTAAAAGGTTCAGGTGAGAGATAATTGAGTGTATATAGAAGGAATTAGAGATGGAAGGAGTTTGAAATTTTAGTGCTATCACAGAACCTGTTTCTCAGAATCCTCAGCAATGAACAAGATTCACAATAGACTTTAAAGGTACACACTTGATCATTGATCAACATGTCCTCCTTATGTGGCTAAGGAGAAGATATGTTGACTGAGAGGAGACTGTGGATGAGGGACATTTGTTGACTTTTCTCATGAGTGAGGAGAACAACAGGGAACTCAGTCAGCCCCACAGAGCAGGCAAAACTCTGAGCTTCTGATGACTCTGTCTTTCCACCTGGTCATGGCCTTTTGGCTAGATTCAGTTCCAGTGGGTGGTGAGCATTTTCCTTCACTAAATCCAACGTCACCCCAAGGCAAGGATGTTGTTACCCCAGGTTCTCAGCTCCATCACTCTGGAGGGTGACTGCTTCTTTTGTAGCTCAGAGCAAGAGTGTCAGACCTGGACAGAGGCTCCTGATCCAAATCTCTACAGTTTCTTCCAGTGCCTGAATGTGTAACTCAGCCTTCATATCTCCACAATCACCGAAACCACATGAATAATTACAAAAAGATTGCATAGTCAGCTGTTGGGCCTAACTTGTTCCAACCTCACCACAGTAAGATGTTCATGGCATCTGCGTTCTTCATTCTACTTACATGCTTTGTGATGTGTCACTAACACTCTCAGAATTCCTTGACTCTGGGTGTGCATGATGAAGGCAAAGATTGCTTTGAATCTAGGCTGAGTCTCCAGGGAAACAGCAGTATATGCTATCTGATTGATCAAAGTTCTATTCATGTTTTATCGAGATCCAAGATGTTTCTTCAGGGACATATTTTGCCATGACATTCTTATTTCATGTTGTTTTCCAGAAGTTACATGTTCAGATAATCAGTGGTAGATTTCTCTCAAAAATTTTTTTATATAATAAGAGTGATAAACAGGTTGGCTAGAGCTATATACATAAGGTAATGATTACATATCTATTCAACCATTGTTATCCCATCCCTTTTATTCTCCTGTTTACCCCTCCCCACTCCTCCCCCCCCACAAGTTGTAAAGTTCATTTCCAACATAATGTTCAGGGAATATTATTGTTGCATTAGTTCATGCTTTGTCTAGTTATGTTCTGTATGCAGTTATTTCTATTTTATATTTTCTATTTCTTTTTCTGTTTTATTTTGCTGTACCCTTTGGCTTCTATATAAGTTTATCTGATCCATGGAAGGGAAAGGGATATTCTCTCTCTCTCTCTCTCTCTTTCTCTCTCTCTCTCTCTCTCTCTCTCTCTCCCCTCCCCACTCTCTCACTCTCTTTCCCCAAGAGATGCAATTTTTCTCCTAGAGATGCAAATATCCATACTGGTATGAGGGAAGACATAATTTATCCACTCATTAAGAAAGGATAAAGCTAGAAGCATGTATGACTGGGTAGCAGTGATTTTTGCTGAAGTAATCAAATCCAGCTTCAAAACTTACAATTTCTTGCTGTTGAAGCGTGAGAGGTAATATCAAGTAGCACAAAGGTGATAAAATATGAGAAGTGTCAGATTAGAATGAAATACTCTCTATTTACATACTCAGAATAGAAGGCACCTAAAGTTTCAGAAGTCCCAAATTTGTGTGAGTCATTATTGAAAATCAGAGTAAAATTACTTTAACTTATATTGTAGTGGCCATGACTAAAACTACCACAAAATACTTTTCAATACATTCTATATGTTTCATACTATATCTTTAGTTAAAGAAATTAAACAAGCTAGGGGAAGGTGGCTCATGCCTGTAATTCTAGGAGGCTGAGATCTGATGATCATGGTTCAAAGCCAGCCAAGGCAGGAAAGTCAGTGAGAATATTTTCTCCAATAAACCACTCAGAAAACCAGAAGTGGTGCTGTGGCTGAAGTGGTAGTGCACTAGCCTTGAGCTGAAGAGCTGAGGGACAGCACCCAGGCCCAGAGTTCAAGCTGCATGACCGACAAAAAAAAAAGAAAAAAGAAAAAGAAAAAGAAACAAATGGGCACCTGTGCCTCACACATATAATCGTATCTACTCAGTAGGCTGAAGATGCAAGGATTGCAATTTGAAGACAGCCCAAGCAGGAAAGTCTGCAAGTGAAGATGTGGCTAAATTGGTATAGCACAGTGATAGACCTGAGCACAAAATATAAGGGATGCAACTCAGGTCCTGATTTCATGCCCCAGGAAGAATACAGAGAGAGAGAGAGAGAGACAGAGAGACAGAGACAGAGAGACAGAGACAGAGAGACAGAGACAGAGAAACAGACCCATAGCCAGAAACAGAAACAGAGACAGAGTTGAATCATTTTATCTGGGTACCAATGGCTAATACCTATCAACCTACATACTCTTGAGCATGAGATATCAGAAGAGTTGCTCAAAGACAGCCTGCATAAGAAAAGACTATGAGATTCTTATATCCAATTAATAACTAAAATGCCAGAAATGGAAGTGTGCCTCATGTAGTAGAGCAATAACTTTGAAGGATAAAGCTAAAGTCAATACCAAGACTCTGAGTACAGGACTGAAGTACAAAAACTAAATGGAAGGAAGGAAGGAAGGAAAGAAGAAAGGAAGGAAGGAAGGAAAGAAAGAAGGAAGGAAGGAAGGAAGGAAAGAATTTTCAACATATAAATATTTGGTATGGAGAACACAAAGTGAGTTTTTCCAGAGACAGAATTATTGAGAGTGCATAAAAGATCTAAGTAGAACAAGAATTTGTTTCAATATATTTATGAAATACTGGTAACATCACTTGTTTCTTTGCATTACACATTTTGAAAATAAAAATGTCTTCTATATTCAAATGTTCTCCAGGAACAAGCACACCCTGCAGACAAATTTTTGTTTCTCTTGTCTGGTTGGAACACCTGTGGAGCATGGCCTGTGGTGACTCTCTGAGTTGAGCCAACCCTGCAGCTGTACATAGCCCTGCCCACAACCTGCTGATTTCCATGTGCCAAGAGCACAGCCCACTACCCTGAACACTTCTTCATAGGCTGCTCACACTATGCAGCAGTCAGTCCCAGTCAGCACAAAGCATGGACATGAGGACCCCTGCTCAGCTCCTGGGGCTCCTGCTGCTCTGCTTCCCAGGTAAGGAAGGACAGTGCTGGGGATTAACTAACCAGGTCTAATACACTCAGGGTTGTATGGTACTTCAATGAAGGCATCTTATTACATGATTATCAAAGAGGATATTTGTTTTTGTTTCCACTGCCAGGTACCAGATGTGACATCCAGATGACCCAGACTCCATCCTCCCTGTCTACATCTCCAGGAGACACAGTCACCATCAATTGCAGGGCCAGTCAGGGCATTAACAGTTGGTTAGCCTGGTATCAGCAGAAACCAGGGAAAGCTCCCAAACTCCTGATTTACAAAGCATCTAATTTAGAATCAGGAGTCCCATCCAGGTTCAGTGGCAGTGGATCTGGGACAGATTACTCTCTCACCATCAGCAGCCTTCAGCCTGAAGATTTTGCTACATATTTCTGTATGCAGCATAACAGCTATCCTAACACAGTGATACAAGTCATAGCAAAAACCTCCAAGGGAAGCAGAAGTAAGACACTGGGCTGCCCCAGCTGCTGCCCCTGTAGCCTCCACCTGCTGACAGTGCTTTTCAGATGCATTTCTGAGGGTCACAGGAAGATTTGGTAAAAGTGGCTGGGCAGAATTCTCTCTATTCTAGCTCTCTGTTTGCAGCAGCACAAACATGCTAATGCTTCTCCTGATTCAATAGAGTACAGAAATGATCAAGCATGAGGAGTCTGTGAGAGCATTAATTGGGGTTCATTTGTAAAGTAGAAAGAAGCCAGCTAATCCAAGTTGATTATATTTAATACAAGAAATGTATTCTTAGCTACTGCCATTCAAGGATTGGGTTATATTACCAAGTAAAGCTAACCACACAAATGGAGAGTTCTCGAGGGTTTCTAAACTCCATATGATCCACCTTTGAAACTGGAGGTCTCCTTACTTAGGTCCTTGCCCTGTCTAGACACCCAGGAGTGGGTGCCAACGCTCTCAACTGCTTGTAAATCCTGACAGGTGACTTCAATCCTCCCCTCCACCCCAGTGTCTGCTGCAGATTTCAGTGCATTCTAAAGCACACTCTTCTAACTTTCCATCTTCTTGAGGACTCCTCATGCAGAAACTCTACAGGAAATACTGGTGAAAATAGCTTCCAGAAGTAAATGATGAGAGAAGTTGCACACCACAGCAAAACAATTATTACAGCAATCTACTCCCCACTCCATTGCTATGTTAGAAATCATCAAGTTGTGTACTGGTAGATTGGTTTCCTAATTTTTTTAATGTGCTTGTCCTGGGGCTTGAACTCAGGACCTAGGTGCTAATCTTTAGATTTTTGTGCTCAAGGCTAGCAATCTACCACTCGAGCCACAGCTCCACTTCTGGCTTTTTTGGTGCTGAATTGGATATAAGAGTCTCACCGACTTTCCTACCCAGACAGACTTCAAATTTCAGTCCTCAGATCTCAGCCTCCTGAATAGCTAGGATTACAGGAGTGAGCCACTGGTCCCTGAAAGGTCTGCCCTGGAAAGCAGAGCAGACTTCTTCCTCCCCTTGGCTAAGTCTCCACCCATTACCTGCATCATCTAGGTAACTGGCACACTTGGAGGCAGCCACCACCTCCCCTCCCTGAGTTCACATCCTCATTCAGTGTGGCCATGCCATCTTCTTCCCCTGGCCTTAATAGAGCCTGGACTAACTGTGGTTCAACCCCCTTTCTCTGGCTGTGTGGACTTCCAAGGTGACCAGAGGCAGCCTGCAGCTCAAAATAAACCTTTCCCCTGCCTGAATTGCATGGGTTGCAATCTCTCCTCAGCTGCCCACTTAATTCACCTAAGAGTTTCTAGCTCCTGGCCATTTTTTATTGTTATTATTGAGTTGCACCATGGTAGCTTTAAAACAAAGAAGGAAAATAAAGTCAGAAGACATAATGACAAATTTCTGAATTTAAGATTTTCTGTTCATTGAATTGCGATGGGAATTCTAGATTTATATTTCCTACTTTAAATATTCTTTTAGGGATTTTTATTTTTGCATTGTATTAATTCTATATTTCTAATTAGAGAAAATTATCATGATGTTGTGTTCTGATTCATGAAAAGGGAAATATTTTTAAGTAGCTATGTCTCCTTTAATCCAAAAGGGTTAGTTCTCTATTCACTGTGTTTCCACAGACTTTACATAGTTTTTATTATTTCTAATAATTTATTTTTATAGTCTTCATCAGCAAATAAAGATAATTTCCTACTTCATTTCTCAATTTAATATCCTCTTTTCTTTCTTGCTTTGTAGAATTTGGAGGACACACTTAATAATTTTGTATGTAAAGAAATGATAGTGAACATTTCAGCATTCAACACAGTGTGATGGGAAAAACGTTAAATTATTTCGCCACTGAGTATGGTATCTGTCATAGATGTTTACATACATTTTAAACCACTAAGATCTTTTTCTATTATTTCTGTCTTTATTAGACATGAATACCTTTAGAATGGTCATGAATAGATGTGGAATATTTAAACATTTTCTACTACTATACAGCTATTATCTTGTTCCTAATCTTCTTAGAATGGTTAATTATATGGATCAACAGATTATAATTAAATCATCTTATTTTAAACTGGCATTCTATTTGTGTAATATATTTAACCTGCTCAAAATGGAGTCTTTGAACAAAGAATAAGGAAGAGAGGAATAGGAGAAAGAGAAGGAAGAAGAGGAGGAGGAGGAGGAGGAGGAAGAGAACGAGATTAAATTCTCCCTTTTATAAGACAATTTTTAACAATATAAGGAGGAGAAAAAAGCATCTGGATATGTATGATCAAAGAGGAAGGTGTTGTGACCTGTGCTGAAATAAGACTCAATGACATGTGAGACGATGAAAACTCAGGACTGCAATGTGCCATAGCCATAGAAGAAGAGGCTTGAAACTCATACAAATATACTGTGAAACTGGTCGATTTGGTGGCACTTGGGTTGGAGCTAGGGCCTTGAGCTCACTAGGCTGGCATTCTTTCAATTGAGCTGCACTCTCAGCCCAGTAAAATTATCCTCACAGTTACACATATAAGGACCTTGAGACAAAGAGATGCTAAGGAACTGCATTGGTGCCACACAGTCACTAAACATATGGCATTGTGTCCCTAACCCAGTTAGTATCACCCTAAGACCTACATACAAACATAATTGTGAAATTGAAATAGTACTAATAAAGGTTTATGGATGTACATAAAACAAATGGAAAGGCAAAGAAGTTTCACTGTCATAGGGAAACATATGATTTACAGGAATGATGTCTACAATCACAGACAAGAGACAAAGTGCTGTTCTGGCTTCACAAGGGGATGGCCTCGGGCAAAGCATGGCTACCCAATAAACACAATTTGGAGAATCTGGAAAATACAGCCTGTATTCCTTGTAGATGAAGACAATGAACACAGTTCCTTACTGTAAAATAGAAAACCAGAAGCTAGAGTGATGGATAATGATATCTTCAGGGAAATGGTGTCATTCACTCTAGGGTCAGATATAAGACCCCCTTCTTTGCCATTGAAACACACACAAACACACACACACACACACACACAAACATACACACAAACATACACTATTGTGGCCAATAAAGTGATGCTGTTTACTAATTCTGTTAAAGAATGAGGAAGTTTCGAGGCCCTCAAGGAAGATCACTCAGCAGCAAATGTAAGATATATCTGCAATATTAGCTTCTGGTCAATTCTTCCTTTAACCTCTGCCAGTCATTCACTAAAGAAATATCTGGAAGTTTTGATGCTATAAGTAGTGAAATAAGACTACCATCATTTATTCTGTCCACAATTTGTCAAATACTGTCTGGCTGATTTTACCCTACAGATTAGTTACAGGGTCATCAGAACTAAAGTCAGCCATCAGGCTGAGGTGAGGTAATTTCTCACATAACCACTTGATCATGAGTAACTAACCTTGACCCTTTCCAGATGGTGTGCATTCTCCTCCCATTCTATCCTGCTGTCAAGACCTCATATCAATGCCAAAGCAGAGGTCTGGGCAGATCTGCCTCAGGTGGGACCCAGAGTGAACCATGGAAGCCCAAGCTCTGCCTCTCTGCCTTCTGTTACTCTGGCTCCCAGGTGAGAAAAACAAGAGATAACAATGAACTCTGCTCTGCGACCACAGTAATGAAACCTCAGTGTAGATCGACCACACTCACTCTACAAGGAGACAACATTTTTGATGAGAAGGTCATGGCTGACTTTTCTATTTTCAACCTCATATACCACTAGAGACGCTCCACTGACTCATTCTCTAGCTTTCTTGTCTTTGTCTCCAGGAAAAACAGACAATGTCACCTGCCAGGCTAGTTGAAGTGTTAGCACCAACTTGGCCTGGGACCAGCAGAAACATGGGAAGACTCCCAAACTCCCAGATTTTCCCTCCCATTCACATCCACAAGTTGCATCCACCTATTATCTAATTCAGTCCACATAGTCTCTAGTATCACTGCTGCATTTGTTTATACGTTGCACCTCCGTCTCTGTGGCCTCTTTACCCTCCAAAAGACAAATAAATGAATGAACAAAGCAAAAGGAACAGAAACAACAACAAAGAAAATTATTTTGCTTCCATTCAAACCATTTTTAATCTCTACAAAAGGCACTAAATGCATCATAGCAGGTAAGTTTCTCACCAGACACCCAGAGAAGCAAGTGATGAGGACCTGGCTTCTTGAGCTAAAATTCTTGCTCCTGCCTGCCAGATGCAGCTCTCTGCTCAGGGCAGTCTCACATATAAAAGCTGCACAGCTGGGAGTAGCCTATAAGGGCCCATGCAAAGCAGTCAGGAAGTAAGGAAGCAACTGTGTGGGCAGTGGGCTGTGAAAGTATCTGATGTAGGATCCCAAGGATACCAACACAGACAGTGTAACTGTGTGATCAGAAAACACACACACATCAATTTAGACATCATAAGAGCAACTTAGAAGCTTTTGTATCCCAGTCTCTTAGATGAATTAGTTAAGAGCTCCTGTTTTAACTCAAAGATAATTTGAAATGTATTCACTATTCCAAAAGAACTCTAAATTCTAATTGCTAAATTCCTGAAATTAATAATTTTTAATTTAATAATAAATCATTGTGGAAAAAAGACAGCAATGAGGAAGGGAAGGAAAAGGAAGAAGGAAGGAAGGAAGGAAAGAAGAAAGGAAGGAAGGAAGGAAAGAAGGAAGGAAGGGAGGAAGGAAGGAAGGAAGGAAGGAAGGAAGGAAGGAAGGAAGGAAGGAAGGAAGGAAAGGAGAGTATGTTAATAGTAGCAGCTGAGGGGTTCTCTTTTTTATTGTGAAAATACAGTACAGAGCTGTTACAATTATATGGGCAAGATAATGAGTACATTTCTTATCAAGCATTTTGCCTCCTCCTCTTTTGTTTCCCCTTCGTAACCCTTCCTATCTCCCCCGACTCTCTACCCTCCCAGACTCCCCCGCTACCTGCCAAAGTTGTAAAGTTGGTTTTTCAATATAACAAATTGTACTTCTTGTTGTTGCAATTGGTCCAACTGTATCCCTATTTAAATGATTAGTTTTTTCCCTTTCCCTCCACTAATTATAACTACATCAAATACAGTGAAAGCAGGGGTTATATCGTGGGGCAGGGACTTACAAAGCAACAAAGAAATAATCTTATAAATACATTAGAAACAATCACATGAAAGAAAAAACATTTGAATACTTATCTTTGGGTTCATTTCACCTAACATCAACTTATCTGACCTTTTCTTCTTGTCACAGACATATACTAGTTATTGCAAATAATGGAAACAATGGGACCTATATTTCTTTGGGCCTGGCTTACTTCACTTAATA